AACTTGTATATAGACTCATACTGCACTATTCCACATCATAACTTTATTTCATTTTTATAACTATTATTATTTTTGTATTGCTCTTGCTCTTATTGTTATTATGTTATGTTATTATGTTGCATTGTTGGAGAAGCCTGTGACATAAGATTTTCAACTGCATAATTACTCTGTAGCTATGTCAGATTGACAATAAAGAACCTTGAACCTTAACAGAAAATTGGCCCTTCAATACCGTTTTTATTTGTCAGACAGTCTATAGATGTGTTTATCTTCACGGTCATCTGTATATTTTTCTAACTCTCTAAAGCTGATTTCTATTTTGTGATTATTATATTTTAGAACTGATATTTCTACTCTTTTAAATTGTTATGATGGGCAATGCCTTGTTTTGTTTATGCTGCTGCAACGAAAACATTTCCCGAATGGGGACTAATAAAGTACATCTTATCTTATCTTATTTATGCCTCTATTTTTTACAGCAACTGTTTGCTCACACTGTATCCATATCAACATACAAGGAGATAATTACGCTGAAGCCAAAAATCAGTCAATAGTTTGAGAAACCTTGTACATGCAGGAGTTTAAATGAGTCTCTCTCTACATTGTGCTCTCCTCTTTTACTACGGAGCCCGAGCACTGATTTTATGTTCTGGAGTGTGATATGAACTGCTGATGGTCCTTATCACACTCATTTCCTGCTGAACGTCCCTGACCCGCTGATGAGTTCTGCCCTGTGAGTGAATGAGCTGCAGACAGACCTCCTCTTGGAAGAAGAAATATGGCTTCAGCTATTATAAATCAGAGGAATGGAAAGTGCTGATGAAGCTGACTGATTTTGGACTGTGTCACTGACATCCCGGCTCCATTCAAAGCTGCTTTAAATCTATTAATTAGACAGATCTAGTCAATTATGATACGACAATAATTAGCTCAACAATGTCAGATATATCTTATCTTCAGCAGATTATAAATCAGTGTGAGAATGTCTGACATGTCGTTATTCATTCAAGCTTTACAGACTGTTTAAAGGGGTCATATTCTGCTGATGTTCAGGTGTATATCAGTATGTAGTGTCTCTACTTTAAAGAGTCCTCTTCTGCTGATGTTCAGGTGTATATTAGTATGTAGTGTCTCTACTTTAAAGAGTCCTCTCCAGCTGATGTTCAAGTGTATATTAGTATGTAGTGTCTCTACTTTAAAGAGTCCTCTCCAGCTGATGTTCAGGTGTATATCAGTATGTAGTGCCTCTACTTTAAAGAGTCCTCTCCTGCTGATGTCCAGGTGTATATCAGTATGTAGTGTCTCTACTTTAAAGAGTCCTCTCCTGCTGATGTTCAGGTGTATATTAGTATGTAGTGTCTCTACTTTAAAGAGTCCTCTCCAGCTGATGTTCAAGTGTATATTAGTATGTAGTGTCTCTACTTTAAAGAGTCCTTTCCAGCTGATGTTCAGGTGTATATCAGTATGTAGTGCCTCTACTTTAAAGAGTCCTCTCCTGCTGATGTCCAGGTGTATATCAGTATGTAGTGTCTCTACTTTAAAGAGTCCTCTCCTGCTGATGTTCAGGTGTATATCAGTATGTAGTGTCTCTACTTTAAAGAGTCCTCTCCTGCTGATGTTCAGGTGTATATCAGTATGTAGTGTCTCTACTTTAAAGAGTCCTCTCCTGCTGATGTTCAGGTGTATATCAGTATGTAGTGTCTCTACTTTAAAGAGTCCTCTCCTGCTGATGTTCAGGTGTATATCAGTATGTAGTGTCTCTACTTTAAAGAGTCCTCTCCTGCTGATGTTCAGGTGTATATCAGTATGTAGTGTCTCTACTTTAAAGAGTCCTCTCCTGCTGATGTTCAGGTGTATATCAGTATGTAGTGTCTCTACTTTAAAGAGTCCTCTTCTGCTGATGTTCAGGTGTATATCAGTATGTAGTGTCTCTACTGGGACATGTCTCCATGCTTTAATGTTCAAAAAGCTCTTTATTGTTCTCATACTGCCTGTGCTGCAGCACCTCTTTTCACCCTCTGTCTGAAACCAGAGCCCAGTCTGCTCTGATTGGTTAGCTGGACGGCTCTGTTGTGATTGGTCAACCGCTTAGAGATGTCTCGCCCCTTAGCCTATCACGCACAATGTATTGGAGTGCTAGACAATCGTAGCGCGAGTGTTACAAAGTGATGTCACAATTTTCAGGAAGTAAACAAAGGAGTCCAATGGAGGCGTTTGGACTATTGACATGCACAGAAACCATACAATAATACACAACATGAAAGGAAAACCCCAAAAGAGCATAAAAGAGACTCTTTAATACTTTGCATCTAACACAATTTGAGATAACTGTACTTTTTCCACTTTTTCCACTTTTTCTCTCAGTTGTCTTTTCTTGTTTTGCAACCTTTTCTATCTTCATCACCATGAGACTATCTCGCTTGCTGCTGCACACCTTTCAGAATAATCTGAAAAAGAGATAGGAAAACTTTGACAGTGTTTTCCTCTGGTAAACAGAACTGAACGCAGCGAACACTGACTTTCTGCTGGGCTCTTATCAGCTGCTGTTTTGTCTCCGGGGTTTTTTATGTTGAACGAGCAGAATGGAGCAACATTTAGAGAGGCTGCTGTAAAAAAGATCCTAAGGCTCGATCGATGAGGAGAGAGATGGGCTGGAGATGGAACCGGTGTGTCTTACAAGATCGTACAGTTAAGAATAAAAAAGGAAAGTGGAGGAACGGTCAGGGTGGAGGTTTCCAGAGGGAAGATCCTGTGTGTGGAGAGCGTGGAGAGATTACAGCCGCTGCCTCTTTATTTACCGGGAGGTGGAGGTGTGTTCTTGCTGTCAACACATCCAGATCCTTGTCAGCTGATTCCTCTGGCAACACAGCACTAATGGAAACACCAGATCACAACATTTAACTGCCTCTGAAGTGTGTCAAAAAAGTGTTTAATTGCACAATTAAGGACATTTTTCCTTTTTCCTTAATGTATTTTATTTCATTGGATATTTTACTTTAGCTTCTTATGTTTATAAAAATATCCTAATTTTATTTTATTTAAATGTATTGGATATTTGACTTTAACTTCTTAACTATCCTTAGTTATTGTAATTTAATAGGATATTTTACTTTTTACTTTATTTACTTCTATTTTGTTACAGTGACATCCCTATGTAACACTTGCGCTCTATTGGCTAGCGCTCTAACACATTGTGCGTGATAAGCTAAGGGCCGGGACATCTCTAAGCGGTTGACCAATCACAACAGAGCCGGCCAGCTAACCAATCAGAGCAGACTGGGCTCTGGTTTCAGACAGAGGGTGAAAAGAGGTGCTGCAGCACAGGCTGTATGAGAAAGATAAAGAGCTTTTTGAACATTAAACCATGGAGACATGTCCCAGTAGAGACACTACATACTGATATACACCTGAACATCAGCAGGAGAGGACTCTTTAAAGTAGAGACACTACATACTGATATACACCTGAACATCAGCAGGAGAGGACTCTTTAAAGTAGAGACACTACATACTGAACATCAGCAGGAGAGGACTCTTTAAAGTAGAGACACTACATACTGATATACACCTGAACATCAGCAGGAGAGGACTCTTTAAAGTAGAGACACTACATACTGAACATCAGCAGGAGAGGACTCTTTAAAGTAGAGACACTACATACTGATATACACCTGAACATCAGCAGGAGAGGACTCTTTAAAGTAGAGACACTACATACTGATATACACCTGAACATCAGCAGGAGAGGACTCTTTAAAGTAGAGACACTACATACTGATATACACCTGAACATCAGCAGGAGAGGACTCTTTAAAGTAGAGACACTACATACTGATATACACCTGAACATCAGCAGGAGAGGACTCTTTAAAGTAGAGACACTACATACTGATATACCACCTGAACATCAGCAGGAGAGGGACTCTTTAAAGTAGAGACACTACATACTGATATACACCTGAACATCAGCAGGAGAGGACTCTTTAAAGTAGAGGACACTACATACTGATATACACCTGAACATCAGCAGAAGAGGACTCTTAAAGTAGAGACACTACATACTGATATACACCTGAACATCAGCAGGAGAGGACTCTTTAAAGTAGAGGACACTACATACTGATATACACCTGAACATCAGCAGGAGAGGACTCTTTAAAGTAGAGACACTACATACTGAACATCAGCAGGAGAGGACTCTTTAAAGTAGAGAACACTACATACTGATATACACCTGAAACATCAGCAGGAGAGGACTCTTTAAAGTAGAGACACTACATACTGATATACACCTGAACATCAGCAGGAGAGGACTCTTTAAAGTAGAGAAATTACATACTGATATACACGCTGAACATCAGCAGGAGAGGACTCTTTAAAGTAGAGACACTACATACTGATATACACCTGAACATCAGCAGGAGAGGACTCTTTAAAGTAGAGACACTACATACTGATATACACCTGAACATCAGCAGGAGAGGACTCTTTAAAGTAGAGAAATGACATACTGATATACACCTGAACATCAGCAGGAGAGGACTCTTTAAAGTAGAGACACTACATACTGATATACACCTGAACATCAGCAGGAGAGGACTCTTTAAAGTAGAGACACTACATACTGATATACACCTGAACTTCAGCAGGAGAGGGACTCTTTAAAGTAGAGACACTACATACTGATATACACCTGAACATCAGCAGGAGAGGACTCTTTAAAGTAGAGACACTACATACTGATATACACCTGAACATCAGCTGGAGAGGACTCTTTAAAGTAGAGGCACTACATACTGATATACACCTGAACATCAGCAGAATAGGGCCCCTTTAATATTTCGGATTGAAAAAGTTAGAATACACATTCTGAACATCAGCAGAATATTTTCTCAGATGAGTTTAGATCAAATATAAATGACACGACTCAAAATGACAGCGGTCAAAGCAATTAGTTCCAGACGAAAAGTGGAGCAATTAACAGCAAACAAACACTCAAAATGTCCATTATGATTTTTTTTTATTACCAGAGCAAAATGACTTTACATCCCCCCACCATTAAGGGCGAGAATAAAACATAAATAAAACATTCTTACAAAATGTTGCAATAGATCACAAATGAAACCTTTTTTTTTTACATTTGATTTGTTTTATACATAAATCATATTTACACATTTGCCCTTCTTTTTTATTTTTTTTACATTTGTTGGGAATGAAACCATCATGTACCACTTTTACAGTACGAACATTTCCTTCGTCGTCTCAAAGCAAGAGGTATAAAAGCTCTCCTCTCGCTAGTGCATTGCATTTTATCATCAAGATTTAAGGCTACGCAGGGAGGGAGGGGGGGGGGGGGGTCGTCTGATTGTCCTGTGGCTTTCCTTTCTCCACATTAAAGCTGCTGATGACTGGATTCACTGAATAACCAATTACAATCTCTGACAACTTATTTGTTCTGCCAGTCGCTTACAAGCGCTGTGGGAAATTGTCACAGAGTGGGAGAGCCACCGCTCGTCTCATTATCTCCGTGTGTCGATGACCTGATGAGAAACATGTTCTCACAGCACGGGGAAATGTCAACAAAAATAACAAAATAGTTTCATGCTTTCTAGTTGTTTGATTTAGTCATAGGTGCAGTGCTTCCTAGTGGTCAAAACTACGGTGGCCCGAAAGGTACAAACATTTCCAATGAGGAGAAACGTGCTGCAGCTTCAGAAAGGATGCAAATATAAAAACACAAATGTTCCAAAACACATCTTCAGCAACTTGACAACACATGCAGCATTTAGAAAACATTCAGCAACTTGAGGAAACATGCGCAGTGTTTCCTAAAAGCTGCAGAAACCAAACTTAAGTTGGCGAAGATGTTTCTTCAACGGCATGTGTTTTGGCACATTTATCTATTTGTATTCGCATCGTTTCTGAAAATGTAAAATGTTTCTTTCGTTGCAGCGCACTTGTCGGCCGCCGTACAGAGCACACCAACAAAAGGAGCCCATTCCTCTGTTTCTTGGACAGTATTACACCAAAGCCATAAACAAAAGCCATGAAGCAGCTACTTGGCCGGCCCTTTGAGCCTCTTAAGAAGACACACTGTAATAAACCAGCGTGGACATGAAGTCAAATGCTCAACAAAGACAGCGAGTTAACAAACAAGCAGTAAAAACACGAGACAAAAGAGGCGGCAGGAGTCGTGGCGCTGCTCTGTGAATCACCGGGAAAAGGACCTTTATTTGAACGTCCTACCTGTCCAGCAGGCAGTGCCTACATCTGGGCTTAAATCAAGCTTAAGAATTAAGACAGGTCGTATCGGAAACTTTGCCTCAAAGCTACTGGTCTTTACTTTAATTTCAACGTTAACAAAAGGACCCGAAGCATCTTTCTCTTTTGGATCCGTGTGGCTTTTCACGAGCGTCAGTGCCCTCGATTAAATCAGAATACAAAGATGATTGATCGCTGATAAGAAATAAAATAAAACATATTAGGACCAAAGTGCTTCACAACATCTCGAGTGTTGATTCATTTGAAATGTTTTGAACACGTAGCATCATTTGGTGTTCTTAGCTTCTCGTTCTCTCTGCTTTGTCGTTAAATAAACAATCTCCTTTTAAAACGTGTGCACATTCAGTCTGTTATGAGAAGTGAGAGTGAGGTGAGCAGACACGAGCGATCAGTATGCTACCTGCACAGATACATGCAATTAAAACATGAAGGGAAGCCCCGCTCGTCAACGACATAAAAGCCCATTGGAGGAAGATAACGCAGAGGATCAGGCTCGTATCCTCTGAAGCACGCTGAAGGGTATGAATTGAGCCATTAGATGCTGGGAGATACGTCTCAATCCTCTCATTACTGTACGTCTGCAGAAAGAGACACATCTGAAGATATCCATTATTCAGAGCAATAGAAAGATCGATGCTATTAAATCTTAATAGAGGACTACTGGAGGTATTTAAACTGCATTTGTCTCACTAACTGGAGGCAGAATTAGTCAAATCTGCTTTAAATGGTGAGTAGACATGTTGCCAGGCAGACGTTCTTCTGTGGTTTCTTCTATTAATTGTCAATAAGGGAGGATTAGAAGCATTTCACAAGCTTGTTGGGAATCGTATATCCATCCAAGCGGTGTTTGGTGACGTCTGTGGCAGCGCTCAGTCACGTTGGAAAACACTCTGTAAGTGAACATAACAGCCTGTAGGTGTGTGTGTGTTGAAATTGGTGTGTGTGTGTTGAAATTGGTGTGTGTGCAAAGGAAACCGTTTGTTTTGGGTTTTGTGGAGCAGAATACCCAACAATGCTTTTCTGTGTTGCTTAATTCATGTGTTCCAAGTATAAATTAATCCCCTCATAACAAATCCCCACAATATGTGACTTTTTGCAGAAACTAAAAGCAGTGGATTTCAAAACACAAGAAAACACTTATTTCTCTTGGCAGAAAAGTAGAATGTTCACTACGTTATGATTCGGGGGGAAACATATTAGATTTAGAAGGTGCCGTAAAGCCTGGTGGAGCAGCAGCATTATGCCTGTATTTGTACTCTGCGGAAACACATTCTTCTGAAAGGGATGGATGATGATGATGAAGAAGAGGAAGAGGAGGAGGAAGAAGAGGAAGAATGTCTCTCAGCAGAAGAAGATCTCTCCGTCCAGAGGAGGCTCGGGGAGGTGCTGAGGGTCTGCAGGAGGAGAAGAGAGGGGTCAGCGTCACACGAGAGGATTCATGCAATAACTGACAATAGCCTCAATGTGTGTGTTTCAATGTGTGTGTATCAATATGTGTGTATCAATGTGTGTGTTTCAATGTGTGTGTTTCAATGTGTGTGTATCAATGTGTGTGTATCAATGTGTGTGTATCAATGTGTGTGTATCAATGTGTGTGTGTATCAATGTGTGTGTATCAATGTGTGTGTATCATGTGTGTGTGTCAATGTGTGTGTGTATCAATGTGTGTGTATCAATGTGTGTGTTTCAGTGTGTGTGTATCAATGGTGTGTGTTATCACATGTGTGTGTTTCAATGTGTGTGTATCAGTGTGTTTCAATGTGGTGTGTATCAATGTGTGTGTTTCATGTGTGTGTTGTACAATGTGTGTGTTTCAATGTGTGTGTTCAATGTGTGTTGTATCAATGTGTGGTGTGTATCAATGTGTGTGTGTATCAATGTGTGTGTATCAATGTGTGTGTGTATCAATGTGTGTGTATCAATGTGTGTGTGTATCAATGTGTGTGTGTTTCAATGTGTGTGTATCAATGTGTGTGTATCAATGTGTGTGTTTCAATGTGTGTGTATCAATGTGTGTGTGTATCAATGTGTGTGTGTATCAATGTGTGTGTGTTTCAATGTGTGTGTATTTCAATGTGTGTGTATTTCAATGTGTGTGTATCAATGTGTGTGTGTATCAATGTGTGTGTGTATCAATGTGTGTGTATCAATGTGTGTGTTTCAATGTGTGTGTATCAATGTGTGTGTGTATCAATGTGTGTGTTTCAATGTGTGTGTATCAGTGTGTTTCAATGTGTGTGTATCAATGTGTGTGTTTCAATGTGTGTGTTTCAATGTGTGTGTTTCAATGTGTGTGTTTCAATGTGTGTGTATCAATGTGTGTGTGTATCAATGTGTGTGTGTATCAATGTGTGTGTATCAATGTGTGTGTTTCAATGTGTGTGTTTCAATGTGTGTGTGTATCAATGTGTGTGTGTATCAATGTGTGTGTGTTTCAATGTGTGTGTATCAATGTGTGTGTATCAATGTGTGTGTATCAATGTGTGTGTGTTTCAATGTGTGTGTATCAATGTGTGTGTATCAATGTGTGTGTGTATCAATGTGTGTGTATCAATGTGTGTGTATCAATGTGTGTGTGTATCAATGTGTGTGTTTCAATGTGTGTGTATCAATGTGTGTGTATCAATGTGTGTGTTTCAATGTGTGTGTATCAATGTGTGTGTGTGTGTTTCAATGTGTGTGTATCAATGTGTGTGTATCAATGTGTGTGTTTCAATGTGTGTGTATCAATGTGTGTGTGTATCAATGTGTGTGTGTATCAATGTGTGTGTGTATCAAGTGTGTGTTTTCTAATGTGTGTGTGTATCAATGTGTGTGTGTATCAATGTGTGTGTTTCAATGTGTGTGTATCAATGTGTGTGTGTAGCTGTTTCAATGTGTGTGTATCAATGTGTGTGTATCAATGTGTGTGTGTGTGTTTCAATGTGTGTGTATCAATGTGTGTGTGTATCAATGTGTGTGTGTATCAATGTGTGTGTGTATCAATGTGTGTGTTTCAATGTGTGTGTATCAATGTGTGTGTGTATCAATGTGTGTGTTTCAATGTGTGTGTGTATCAATGTGTGTGTGTATCAATGTGTGTGTTTCAATGTGTGTGTATCAATGTGTGTGTGTATCAATGTGTGTGTTTCAATGTGTGTGTATCAATGTGTGTGTGTATCAATGTGTGTGTTTCAATGTGTGTGTATCAATGTGTGTGTGTGTATCAATGTGTGTGTATTCAATGTGTGTGTATTCAATGTGTTTCATATTAACGGTGTGCAGAGTGCATGTACTGTCCTCTCTATGTGCTGCTGTTCTATAAATACAGGCAAACACGGAGAAATATTTTTCAAATACATCAACTAAAACAAAAGTACTATTTTTATAAACTCATAAAAGATAAAGCCTGCTGGAACAGCAATAATGCTCGGCTTACTGGACAGGTTATTATCTAATATTTATTACATGGATTAGTTGAATACTCGATTCTGATGATGTTTTCAAATCTGTAATCAAAAAGGTCCGCAAAAACGCTATCGAAGCAGTTCCTGCCGTTGCTACGTTAGTTCAAACGGTAACAACGGACTATTTTTCTCAACAGACTTTCTTAGCGGATGAATGTCATTTTAAATCAATAATAGCCTACTATTTTCAAAATCTATAAAAGCATTTCAATGAATATTGGGAGTCATATCGTGACTTTGTTGAGAATGTGGCCACAAATCTTCGCGTCGGGCTCCCGATCAGCGGGTGTTCTTTTCCCCATAACGCCTCGCTGCACATTGTCCCTTACATAAGATTTCCGTGCAGGCTTCAAAACAGCCTCGTGTGTTTTCTGCCTCTTCCTGCACTCTGATCATATTGTATTTGTTATATTTGTGTATTTCCTGGACAATAGATCCTGTGTTTCTCTACCTGCCGCCTGCGGACCCCCCCCTTTGCCTTTCTTCTTCTTCTTGTCCTTGTCCTTGTTCTTGCTCAGCGTCAGGAGGCTCTTCTGCTTGTTGGCCTCGTTGCCCTTCAGGCTGGACGAGCTGAACGGGTTCAGGCCCTTCCCTCTGGGTCTGGAGCGGGGGGGGGGGGGTCCGGCTGGGGGTCCGGCTCCAGAGACTGGGAGTCATCCGACGCTGTGGAGGGCGTCCTCTGGAGGAGAGAGAGAGGCACAGCTGTTATACACATCTGGTGGAGAGCATGCAGGAAATGTGCTATAAATATTCTTCCTATTATTTTTATGAGTATATGTGTATTGTGTTAACGGCTCATCAATATTTTTTATATTATTTACTATCATTTTATTATTTGTATATTCTAATTAATGATATATATCACTATCAAGAGGCTCCAGGTGTCACTGAGCAAAGCACTGAGCCTCTCCTCCTGCAGGAGCAGCAGATTATGTTTGTATTGAGTCAATTCAACACATCACATGCTATGGAAGCAATGCTTATTCATTTTCTGCATTGTTAATGTTTGTACCGGTGCTTTTTGGTGCTTTTTGGTACATGTCTAAATGTTTCTACATGTGATGGAGCAGGGGGTGATTCTTTAGAGATGTGTCTGTTGTCTCTGTTGTTTTGGCATGTTTCATATTGGATCCCTTGCACTAACTCCAGAGCATTTTTGGCTTATTTTGTAACACAACATTTCCTGATTCTGGTCAAATATGGTCCAAAAATACGTTTTCCCAGCTACTTACAAGATCTCTTCATTCAAGAAATGTTAGCAAGCATATATGAACTAGTCTATTGGCTGATTTCTTGAAAACACCTTGTTTTCATTCTTTTTTTTGGAGCAGCATTTGTTCCAGTGTGTCTGTTACCTGCAGACTGCCTACAGGTCAGAATAACCTGACCCTGACCCTGGATCAGTTCAGAGTCTCCTCTCACCTCCGACAGTGTGACCTCCTCCATCTTCTGGATCTGCCTCTGCACGGCCTCTCGGTCTCTCTCCAGCTTCCTCTGGGCGTCCCTCAGCCTCTCCAGGTCTCTCTGGTACTCCTCCTTCCTGCTCTGAAGACCCTTCCTCTCCTCCTGCAGCTGCTGCTCCTGCTGCTGCACCTCCTCCTCCTGCAGTGGGGGGGAGCAGTCAGGGATTTATTGAAAGGGTACCAAAGATTAAGTATGTTGTTGTTTTTATTTGTATTTATCTTAATCTTTGAGGTGTGCAACATTTAGTTGATTGGATTTGTATGGTTAACACTCGTGATGTCCTGCTGATGACGACATTTCCGCATGTCAAGGTTCCAAAGTAACTAGATACAGAGATAGGTAGGTAGGTAGGTAGGTAGGTAGGTAGGTAGGTAGGTAGGTAGGTAGGTAGGTAGGTAGGTAGGTAGGTAGGTTATAGGTAGGTAGGTAGGTGGGTGGGTGGGTAGGTAGGTAGGTAGGTAGGTAGGTAGGTGGGTGGGTGGGTAGGTAGGTAGGTAGGTAGATAGGTAGGTAGGTAAATAGGTAGGTAGGTAGGTAGGTAGGTAGGTAGGTAGGTAGATACATAGGTAGGTAGGTAGACTACTAAGTGTGCAGAATCACACATGCATAGACACAGACTAATACAACAGCAGGTATAAAGTGCTGTAGACTCACCTGTCCGTGCAGAAGCCCCTCCCTCTCCAGCAGCTGCTCCTCCCTCCTCTCCCACTCCCTCTCTCTCCTCCTCTTCTCCTCACTGTGGGCGTTCTGCTGCCTCTGCAGGGCGCTCACTTCCTGTCTCTGTTTCTCCAGACTGCGCTGCTTCTCCTGTTCGATCAGAGAGCCTCCAGGCCGGGGGGGGGGGGCGCGACGAAGAGGAGGAGGAAGAGCTGAGGGCCAAACGCTGGTCCTCCATTAAGCTGTCCTGCTGCACCACCACCGCCTGAACACACACACACACACACACACACACACACACACACACACACACACACACACACACACACACACACACACACACACACACACACACACACACACACACACACACACCACACACACACACACACACACACACACACACACAGCACACACACACACACACACACACACACACACACACACACACACACACACACACACATCACACACACACATCACACACACACACACACACACACACACACACACACACACACACACACACACACACACACACACACACACACACACACACACACACACACACACACACACACACCACACACACACACACACACACACACACACACCAAGTTTTAGTCCATCTCTAATTTCAATTTTCTACATACTGATATACACCTGAACATCAGCAGGAGAGGACTCTTTAAAGTAGAGACACTACATACTGATATACACCTGAACATCAGCAGGAGAGGACTCTTTAAAGTAGAGACACTACATACTGATATACACCCTGAACATCAGCAGGAGAGGACTCTTTAAAGTAGAGACACTACATACTGATATACACCTGAACATCAGCAGGAGAGGACTCTTTAAAGTAGAGACACTACATACTGATATACACCTGGACATCAGCAGGAGAGGACTCTTTAAAGTAGAGACACTACATACTGATATACACCTGGACATCAGCAGGAGAGAACTCTTTAAAGTAGAGACACTACATACTGATATACACCTGAACATCAGCAGGAGAGGACTCTTTAAAGTAGAGGACACTAAATACTGATATACACCTGAACATCAGCAGGAGAGGACTCTTTAAAGTAGAGACACTACATACTGATATACACCTGAACATCAGCAGGAGAGGACTCTTTAAAGTAGAGACACTACATACTGATATACACCTGAACATCAGCAGGAGAGGACTCTTTAAAGTAAAGACACTAAATACTGATATACACCTGAACATCAGCAGGAGAGGACTCTTTAAAGTAGAGACACTACATACTGATATACACCTGAACATCAGCAGGAGAGGACTCTTTAAAGTAGAGACACTACATACTGATATACACCTGAACATCAGCAGGAGAGGCCTCTTTAAAGTAGAGACACTACATACTGATATACACCTGAACATCAGCAGGAGAGGACTCTTTAAAGTAGAGACACTACATACTGATATACACCTGAACATCAGCAGGAGAGGACTCTTTAAAGTGGAGACACTACATACTGATATACACCTGAACATCAGCAGGAGAGGACTCTTTAAAGTAGAGACACTACATACTGATATACACCTGAACATCAGCAGGAGAGGACTCTTTAAAGTAGAGACACTACATACTGATATGTCCTGTTTAAATGTAGTTACCTGCAGAGTGCTGAGCAGCAGGTGCAGGTTGGAGACACTGTTCAGGACCGACTGTTGGAGAAAGAATATCACATCATCAAATCAAATGAAAACATGTATCTCTGTCTCTTGTATGTGTCTCTGTTGCATAGAGAACACTTGTATGATGCTCCTTACAGCTGCTCTTGACTCTGCTTGTTAAAATACTCCACTGACGGCAGGAGAGCTTCATTTTAAACTTTGTCTTTTAACAAGGCGCAGCCAGTGAGTTCTGGTAATATGAATTTATACGAGTGGACTCTCTCAGACAAAGCCGGCATTAAAGCCTGATGAGTTAAAGTGATGTGACCTTTTCTGCATTCAGACTCTGACAAAGAGACGAGGCCGGCTAGCGTCCGGCTGCCAGCACTGTTTACTCTGACTAAAAGGCTCCAATGAATGTTCACCAGGAGCCGCAGAAACACCATTTAAAACTCTGGGAATATGCAGAAAGTGTGGCTGCAGCAAGTGTAAAGACAGCATGGTGTCCTGTGTGACAAAAAGGGCTAGGATTTATAATTAAAATGTATGTCTATTTAGCTTTAATGACTTTGCAATCAGAGTCAGAAATTGGGTTTTGTAAGATTTGCTCAATTTTAGAATTAAATAAATGATAAATTAAAAAAAATTCATAAAAAGATTAGATTTTGTGAAAGTCAAAGTAAAATGTAAAATAGAAATAAATACAATAAAATAGAATACATTCTTAGAATACAACACAGAATGTTTGACCACATTTGGCCTAAAGTAGGTTTTTTAATAAAACATGTTTTATCTCAGAAAGAACCTTTGATTTTAATATTTTATTGCAATATTTCAAAATCAAAAATACCTGTTTATTCAGATTTTGGGCTGGATTTAAAACATATTTTGGTTATTTTTGTCTCTTTATTGGATATTTATTATTAAAAAATTGTGTATAATTAGGAGAGGATTATTTAACCACATGCAAGATTGTAGCTTAAATTGAGTCTTATGATGTCCATTTCTATCTCTCCTACTCAATTAATACCTGTTTTGTATGATTACTTAGAATAATGCTACTTATATTTAAAACCAATATTTATAATGAGTGCTTCAGCTGCTGCCTGCACATGAATGAAAGCAGATACATGTGACAGTAAGAGTCTCCATGTGAACATCAGCTGTTATCGAGTTAGAGACAGGAAGTGTGTGTTACCTCACTGTTCTTCTTCAGCAGCAGCAGCAGGTTGGCGTTTCCTCCCTGCACACACACACACACACACACACACACACTTAGGACTATATAGCAGGAAACAGCAATGCACACACACACATCTGTTAGTGTGTCTCATTATATGTGTGTGTGTGTGTGTGTGTGTGTGTGTGTGTGTGTGTGTGTGTGTGTGTGTGTGTGTGTGTGTGTGTGTGTGTGTGTGTGTGTGTGTGTGTGTGTGTGTGTGTGTGTGTGTGTGTGTGTGTGTGTGTGTGTGTGTGTGTGTGTGTGTGTGTACATTATGCATATGGCTGAATGTGATTATAGCTGCACATGTGGGCGTGCTGTGATCATCTAACTGCATCTGGGTATCATTATGTATTACAGATATAATAATACAGCGGTCTTATAGTTCATTTATTTTAAGAAGAGATACTACTGGCAGAAGTAAGTGTATCGTGCACGGGTCTATTTTGAGATTTGGGGGTATTTTGCTTTTATTCCATGTCTTTTTTCACACTAAAGCACCCAAAATGCACATTTAAGTGGGACTTTTTATTATTGTAGTGAGCCAATTTCTTTTAAATCACCATAAAGTAAGCATGTTATGATGATTTGCGTATTTAAATATATCAGGTGTATGTGTTATACAATACAGATGTGTCTAAAACTGTCTTATTCTGCCGTATAAATCACAACATGGTTAGGTAGTGATCCAGAGCTACACCTGAACACCGCCCATTCATTCCCCTCCACCCCTGACTCCTTATCGAGCTGCTGGTCGCCATTAGCAGCGAGCACAAGAGTCAAGAGGCGAATCCAGAGCAGAGAGAGAGGAGAGGCTCTTCTTAACGCTGGAGTTAATGGAGGAGGACAGTTCACAGAGTAGGGTCTTCAGAGAGGAGAGTAACCAGCTGCAGAGATACAGACCTTCTTCAAAACGCTGTCAGACTCCGTCCGGCGTAAATCCCCCGCCGAATCCTCGCTGTCGTCCCCGTCTCCACCTGATGGGAAGAGGAACAAGAGGAGAAAAGATGAGGTTCATGTCTCCTGCAAGACTCAGTTATATGGAACATGTTAAATATATTTTAATAACTGTCTAGCGAAAGGGAGTCCTGTTAAAAGGAGTTTTTGTTCTGCACATTTCCAGCCATGAGAGTGTGAACAACAGGTGTTTAAAGGGCGACTGTGGCTGAGAGGGGGAAATACTTCACCCATTAGCTATATCTTAATTAGTTTAAGTCAAACGTCAGATTGTATTTAACACTTCAGTCAAACTATTCCAGCCAAAAACATCATGGTTTTCTTTTAAAAACAGTTACTCTTCAGTCGAATTGTGATTTTTGTTTTTGCTGAATGACTTTTTTCCACAATATTATCTCAGCACATCTATAGTAAACACATTTAAAGTGTAAAACCTGGAAGTCAATTAACCAATTAGTGAGTAAACTAAATCACATGAGTCATAGGGTGTTTCTCAATCTCGAGTAAAGCTGCTTCAGAGCCACTATTTCAAGCATACTACGTCATCGAGTGCCGCCGAAGTACTGTTCCAATCTCCAGCATACTTGGAAATCTACTGAGCCCGGCGTACTCCGTTTGGAGAAATATCGAGTCTGCACATGAGTAGACTTCGCGATCTTAAAATCCCCACAATGCTTTGCGCACGGACCAATTTCCCCAAATCTGTGGCGGAAGATGTAAGGCGGGGCCTCTCATATGACGCACACCTGCACACTTGCTAGCGTGTTCCACACTTCGTTTTCCGAATGCCAGGAAGTATTCTTGCCTAGCTTCTGAAGCAAGATGCTCGGCAGACATGTGCTACCAAGCAAGCGTACTCGCGATTGAGAAACACCCTTAGTCTACTCTTCAGTAACTAGTGTGTCGCTGCACATTAGCAGACATTGAGCTGATGTGTGTGTGTGTGAATATTAAAGGCGTCACATTTAACCACTGCAGGATAATCTCTCCTTAAAGAGACTATAACACCCCTTGTTGTTAAATACAAACTATGTGCAATATATATATATATATGCCGTGAATAACTGTGCAATATATGCTGCTAAATCCTAAGAACTGTTACAGGATGTGTATTTTGTAAATTGTGTAATTTGTATTATTTTGTATCTTTATTATTTGTTATATGCATGCTTCTTAGGTAACATTAAAGGTCCCCTATTATACTGTCTTTCATCAATATATCACAGGTCTCAGATATATCCAGAGCCTGTCTCTGATTGGCTGAAACACCAAACAGATCATTGCAGCATCCCATAATCCCCTCTGTTTCAGCCCTGTTTCCAAAGTGCTGATTCTCTGTCTGTTACTTCAGATGAAAATAAGGAGCCCCTCCCCACGCCCCTCTGAGAGAGATTTGGTTTAAAAGAACACAATGGAGGAGATTCAGGTGATAAGGTGGGGGGGGGGGGGGTTACCTTGGTTGCTGATTGGCTAACGGTCACACAAGACAAAACATCGTTATGACATCACAAAGTGGCCAAAATCTGATCAGCTCATTTTCAGACAGGTTTTTATAGAAATGGATCAGGACAAAAAGAGAGAGAATCTTTGTTCCTGAAACTTTCAGAATCTCTTTACACAGAGGGGACACATGTTGATGAAGAAGAGACATGAAGAAGAGGGGACACATGTTGATGTAGAAGAGACATGAAGAAGAGGGGACACATGTTGATGTAGAAGAGACATGAAGAAGAGGGGACACATGTTGATGTAGAAGAGACATGGAGAAGAGGGGACACATGTTGATGTAGAAGAGACATGAAGAAGAGGGGACACATGTTGATGTAGAAGAGACATGAAGAAGAGGGGACACATGTTGATGAAGAAGAGACATGAAGAAGAGGGGGACACATGTTGATGTAGAAGAGACATGAAGAAGAGGGGACACATGTTGATGTAGAAGAGACATGAAGAAGAGGGGACACATGTTGATGTAGAAGAGACATGAAGAAGAGGGGACACATGTTGATGTAGAAGAGACATGGAGAAGAGGGGACACATGTTGATGTAGACAGAGACATGAAGAAGAGGGGACACATGTTGATGTAGAAGAGACATGAAGAAGAGGGGACACATGTTGATGTAGAAGAGACATGAAGAAGAGGGGACACATGGTGATGTAGAAGAGACATGAAGAAGAGGGGACACATGTTGATGTAGAAGAGACATGAAGAAGAGGGGACACATGTTGATGTAGAAGAGACATGAAGAAGAGGGGACACATGTTGATGTAGAAGAGACATGGAGAAGAGGGGACACATGGTGATGTAGAAGAGACATGAAGAAGAGGGGACACATGTTGATGTAGAAGAGACATGAAGAAGAGGGGACACATGGTGATGTAGAAGAGACATGAAGAAGAGGGGACACATGTTGATGTAGAAGAGACATGAAGAAGAGGGGACACATGTTGATGTAGAAGAGACATGAAGAAGAGGGGACACATGTTGATGTAGAAGAGACATGAAGAAGAGGGGACACATGTTGATGTAGAGGAGACATGGAGAAGAGGGGACACATGTTGATGTAGAAGAGACATGAAGAAGAGGGGACACATGTTGATGAAGAAGAGACATGAAGAAGAGGGGACACATGTTGATGTAGAAGAGGAGACACATGTTGATGTAGAAGAGACATGAAGAAGAGGGGACACATGTTGATGTAGAAGAGACATGGAGAAGAGGGGGACACATGTTGATGTAGAAGAGACATGAAGAAGAGGGGACACATGTTGATGAAGAAGAGACATGAAGAAGAGGGGACACATGTTGATGTAGAAGAGACATGAAGAAGAGGGGACACATGTTGATGTAGAAGAGACATGAAGAAGAGGGGACACATGTTGATGTGGAAGAGACATGAAGAAGAGGGGACACATGTTGATGTAGAGAGACATGAAGAAGAGGGGACACATGTTGATGTAGAAGAGACATGAAGAAGAGGGGGACACATGTTGATGTAGAAGAGACATGAAGAAGAGGGGACACATGTTGATGTAGAAGAGACATGAAGAAGAGGGGACACATGTTGATGTAGAAGAGACATGAAGAAGAGGGGACACATGTTGATGTGGAAGAGACATGAAGAAGAGGGGACACATGTTGATGTAGAAGAGACATGAAGAAGAGGGGACACATGTTGATGTAGAAGAGACATGAAGAAGAGGGGACACATGTTGATGTAGAAGAGACATGAAGAAGAGGGGGACACATGTTGATGTAGAAGAGACATGAAGAAGAGGGGACACATGTTGATGTAGAAGAGACATGAAGAAGAGGGGACACATGTTGATGTAGAAGAGACATGAAGACGAGGGGACACATGTTGATGTAGAAGAAGACATGAAGAAGAGGGGACACATGTTGATGTAGAAGAGACATGAAGAAGAGGGGACACATGTTGATGTAGAAGAGACATGAAGAAGAGGGGACCACATGTTGATGTAGAGAGACATGAAGAAGAGGGGACACATGTTGATGTAGAAGAGACATGGAGAAGAGGGGACACATGGTGATGTAGAAGAGACATGAAGAAGAGGGGACACATGTTGATGTAGAAGAGACATGAAGAAGAGGGGACACATGGTGATGTAGAAGAGACATGAAGAAGAGGGGACACATGTTGATGTAGAAGAGACATGAAGAAGAGGGGACACATGTTGATGTAGAAGAGACATGAAGAAGAGGGGACACATGTTGATGTAGAAGAGAACATGAAGAAGAGGGGACACATGTTGATGTAGAGGAGACATGGAGAAGAGGGGACACATGTTGATGTAGAAGAGACATGAAGAAGAGGGGACACATGTTGATGAAGAAGAGACATGAAGAAGAGGGGACACATGTTGATGTAGAAGAGACATGAAGAAGAGGGGACACATGTTGATGTAGAAGAGACATGAAGAAGAGGGGACACATGTTGATGTAGAAGAGACATGGAGAAGAGGGGACACATGTTGATGTAGAAGAGACATGAAGAAGAGGGGACACATGTTGATGTAGAAGAGACATGAAGAAGAGGGGACACATGTTGATGTAGAAGAGACATGAAGAAGAGGGGGACACATGTTGATGTAGAAGAGACATGAAGAAGAGGGGACACATGTTGATGTGGAAGAGACATGAAGAAGAGGGGACACATGTTGATGTAGAAGAGACATGAAGAAGAGGGGACACATGTTGATGTAGAAGAGACATGAAGAAGAGGGGACACATGTTGATGTAGAAGAGACATGAAGAAGAGGGGACACATGTTGATGTAGAAGAGACATGAAGAAGAGGGGACACATGTTGATGTAGAAGAGACATGAAGAAGAGGGGGACACATGTTGATGTGGAAGAGACATGAAGAAGAGGGGACACATGTTGATGTAGAAGAGACATGAAGAAGAGGGGACACATGTTGATGTAGAAGAGACATGAAGAAGAGGGGACACATGTTGATGTAGAAGAGACATGAAGAAGAGGGGACACATGTTGATGTAGAAGAGACATGAAGAAGAGGGGACACATGTTGATGTAGAAGAGACATGAAGAAGAGGATTTTGCACAATAGGAGACCTTTAAAGGATCACACACACTGTTCAGCTGCAGACTCACTCTTGCTGCTGTGCATCTGGTGGCTGTCGAAGCCTCCGAAAGTCTCCGCTCGTCGAGGTAAACTCACAGATCCTCCAGAGCCTCCGCCCTCCTGCACGCTGGCCATCGCCCCCCCCCAGGCTGCCGTTCACCAGCCCCTGTAACGTCTCCACTAAACACACACACACACACACACACACACACACACACACACACACACACACACACACACACACACACACACACACACACACACACACACACACACACACACACACACACACACACACACACACACACACACACACACACACACACACACACACACACACACACACACACACACACACACACACACACACACACACACACACACACACACACACACACACACACACACACACACACACACACACACACACACACACACACACACACACACACACACACACACACACACACACACACGTCACTAAGTGAATCACCGGCTAACTGTGTTACCACTCTGCTCTCTGCTGTTTCTTAGCAACGATTGACAACCTGGTTGAACCACAGAGTTGGTTTTTACTTACATCTTAAGCGTCTGAAATTATATAAGCTCTGGTTGCTGGAAAGACGTGAACAGTATCAGTATATCCACATTTATGTACCTATTCAAACACGAAGTACTGTGACCTTTGCAGTGAAAATGAGATGAGAAACAAACGCTGCTCAGAGTCAAATGTGAAATGACATTACTGCCAATTCACATTTTACATAAAGGGAATTACTGCCCGAGGCTCCAGGAGGAGGAGAACACAGGCTGTAATAACTGAACCTCTCGTGCTACTTTCAGAAGTGGAAACTCTTTCAGACTTTACTTCATTAGAGCGGCAAACACGTTTAGTTTAAGGTCGGTTTCACTACAAATGATTGGGATTTTGTGACAACGGTGGACGACAGGTGCAAACTCTCTACAACCTAAACATCTCCATCAGGACAAACACAGGAGATGTTTCTTCACTTGCATGTGTTTTGGCACATTTGTGGTTTTATATTGTCATTGTTTCTGAAGCTGCAGCAACTCTCTAGTAATTCTTGGAGCGAGTTTGCACGTGTTGGCCTCACTAAAATCCCAGGAATTGGTTGTGACCGTGCTGTGACCCGTTCCTTTATCGCCTCTCGTTAGCTATCAGAAACGTGTGTTTGACACAGAGATTCATTTCTACCATATTACAAAATCAAATGGAGAAATCCCATTGGCTTTTTGTGGAGGGAGCCCTTGCTAAGCTAACTTCCAGGTCGGCCTATTATAAACCATCATCACTGCACCTGTATATGTTAATATGAGGTATGAACCACAGGCTTTGAGCAGATGTGACATAAACACATGGATGTAAGAGACTGTATAGTCTGTAACTCTTTATCCAATTGAATCAGTCTGCTCTAAAGAAATCTCATGCATTACAAAAATAATAAAAATACATTTGATTTGTATATCGCTTATCCTGTGGGGGGGGGGGGGTTGTTGATTTAAAGAAAAATGATATCAATAAAAAAACAATATCAAAAAAACTAAAACAATATCCCTCTCTTCCTCTCTTACCCTCCTGCAGGGCGTCCTTCATGATGGCCGCCCCTCGGGGGGGCTCCAGGCTGCAGGCCGACCTGAAGAAGGGCTGCTCTGCGGGGCCCGGACCCTCCCACATCCCCCTGAAGAGAGAGACCTTCTCCTCCAGCAGAGACATGATCTCACTGTCCTTCTGCCGCAACAGCGCTGAGAGAAGAGGAAACATTTTTCAGAGAAGGCAAAAGTACACACATCCTTTACTCAAGTAGAAGTACAGATACTCGTGTTTAAAAATACTCTGGTGAAAGTAGAAGTACTGACTAAACTTCTTTACTCAAGTAAAAGTAAAGAGGGCTTTGAAATGTACTTCAGTAAAAAGTACCCATAACTAGCAGCTGTTTTAAAGAGTACCTGACCTCCCTTTATATTAATAGAACAATAATGTCATTGTTAGCTAATGAATGTTTCCATGCTGAACAACGGCAACATGACAACGTTTTCATTGGTCCCTCTTCTTTAGAGAAGACCAGGAAATGATGGATACACGGATCGTGTTCAAATCAATAGGCACGCAATGACTCTAAATAATAATGATCACGCCACCAAACACACATTCAAACTAAAGGAACCAGCCTGTTTGGGAAATGTGAGAAGTAGAAAGTTCAGGTATTTGTGTTCAACATGTGAGAAGTAGAAAGTACAGGTATTTGGGTTCAACATGTAAGAAGTAGAAAGTACAGGTATTTGAGTTCAACATGTGAGAAGTAGAAAGTACAGGTATTTGGGTTCAAAATGTAAGAAGTAGAAAGTACAGGTATTTGTGTTCAACATGTAAGAAGTAGAAAGTACAGGTATTTGTGTTCAACATGTAAGAAGTAGAAAGTACAGGTATTTGAGTTCAACATGTGAGAAGTAGAAAGTACAGGTATTGGGTTCAACATGTAAGAAGTAGAAAGTACAGGTATTTGTGTTCAACATGTGAGAAGTAGAAAGTACAGGTATTTGGGTTCAACATGTAAGAAGTAGAAAGTACAGGTATTTGAGTTCAACATGTGAGAAGTAGAAAGTACAGGTATTTGGGTTCAACATGTAAGAAGTAGAAAGTACAGGTATTTGGGTTCAAAATGTAAGAAGTAGAAAGTACAGGTATTTGTGTTCAACATGTAAGAAGTAGAAAGTACAGGTATTTGTGTTCAACATGTAAGAAGTAGAAAGTACAGGTATTGTGTTCAACATGTAAGAAGTAGAAAGTACAGGTATTTGTGTTCAACATGTAAGAAGTAGAAAGTACAGGTATTTGGGTTCAACATGTAAGAAGTAGAAAGTACAGGTATTTGTGTTCAACATGTAAGAAAGTAGAAAGTACAGGTATTTGTGTTCAACATGTAAGAAGTAGAAAGTACAGGTATTTGTGTTCAAAATGTAAGAAGTAGAAAGTACAGGTATTTGTGTTCAACATGTAAGAAGTAGAAAGTACAGGTATTTGTGTTCAACATGTAAGAAGTAAAAGTTAAAAGTCGTCAGAAAAATAAGTAGTGGAGTAAAGTACTGATACCAGAAACATGTACTGAAGTACAGTAACAAAGTATTTGTACTCCACTACTTCCCACCTTGGTAGCGAACGTAATCCCTTCCTCAGAAACACTCGTCTCACCTCTCATCTCCTTGTTTTTTGTTTCCTGTTGTCTCTTGTCGTCTTCGGTCTCGCTGGGAATCCCTTCGTCCTCGTCCTTCTCCCTGAGCGAGCAAAGAAACGAAACACCGTGCATTACAACGTTATATTACAAAACAACGTATATGTACTCATACAGGATCTGCAGCACCTCAAAATATACATGTGTTTAATGTTTAGATACAAAAACAAATAAACCGTGCAGAAAGAGGCCCCCCGGGCTCCATCTAAATCATGTGGAAATTCACATTTATTTAAATTAAGATGTTAAGGAAATTCTGAAATCAACAGAGGTGGCAAACTAATAGAAACATATATATTAAAATGATAAACAAATTACAATTAAATATAAAAAAAGGAGAAATTGCAACATCTATGAATAAATCTACAAGTAACGATGAAAAAGTAAAAGTCTGAAAAGTCACTATTTTACAAGATTAGTTATTTATTTTATTATTACATTAATATATATTTTCTCTAAATTAATGGAAATGTAAAAAGGTTATTTGATTTATAATGTTAATTAAAACAATTGTATTTCTTTTCATTTGTCACAGTGCATACCAAAAATAGATATATATATATAAAAGTAGTAAAGTATTGACAACAAGCACAAGTTATACTTACACATAATGAAGAAATGAATGAAAATAAAAAGAGAGAAGGAGGGAAAGAGACAATAAGAAGAAAGAAGGAAGAATATATTGTGCTATTTTATCATTTCAAATTATTAAGTCGTTGTTTGGAGGGTCAGGTGTAGAGAGAAACACAAATAGTTTAGAAATGATGAATACAATTAATCAACAACCTGTCAATATGCACAACAACAACAAGAGGGATTAGACAAACTCAAAGGGAAATGTCTGATCAGGATATCTATTCCTGAGAGTAGCCAGAGGCCTGTACGACGAAGCCGGATTTTCGCTTAGCCGGCTAACTTCAGGGAAAACTCGGGGGTTCTCTTTTTAGCGGGCTAGATCTCCATGGTAACTTATGCTGAGTGGCTAACCTGGTCCGGAGCAGGTTAGGTTGCAGGCTAAGAGATCAACTCAGTGAAAGCACCGCCTGCTGACCAATCAGAGCTCCGTGTGCGGAGTTTAAAGCGATCAATTCATATTACAGGATAGAGGAAATACTGAAAAACTGCCGTTGCAGGAAAGACGGCCGGCAAAAATCAACTGACTGTGTGAACGTGAAAATGAATAGAATATCCCCTCCCATCTTCAGAGCAATCTGACTATTATAACATTAGCATTAAGAAAGCTTACTTAAATATCTGCCACGACATAAGTAACCGGATCAGAGTAACATTAAGTACAGTCCGCGGCACTGTGAGTGCAGACGGCGATGTGTCCCATTATCATTCATATCATATCACATCATAATGTATCATATATTTCCTTATCTGAGTCAGCTTCTTGAGCCGTATCTGGCCGTGCAACACTCACAGTGTCACATACTGTATGCAGAAGTATTATTTTAAGCAACACATTAAGTTGACGAAACACTCGAGTCAAATGTAATTAAAGTCAGATCGTGTCTGGACGGGGCAGTGATTTCATAAACCTGTTAATGTACGCATTCAAACACTTTTTCTTTTACCAGCTGTATTCACCTTGCAGGTGCAGCTTTGTGGCTTTTATCCTGGATAAAGTGTTTAAGTCATGGATGTTTAAAGTTTAACTTCTTCATATTTGACTAATATTAAAGTTCACTTTTCATTCAGGAAGTATGACTCTGCGCTGTCAGTACGCTTGTCCGTGTTTGTGATTGGTCGAATGCTCCAAATACCACCCCTTTCATGTGAACGCGCACCAAACTAGATAGGACACGGCGGCTTGAGCGATCCACTTGATAACCAGCGTCGTAGTACAGTTTAGCGAGAGCGCGTATGTTTTAGATTGGGCCAACCGGCTAACTCAAACATATCCAGGTTAGGTTGAACCGGCTTCGTCGTACAGGCCTCTGGTCTCACTGTTATGAGGTAAATCTACCCCCCCCCCCCCCCCACCCCCCGGGCTGAAGTGGTTTAATCCTCTCCTTAAAGTGAGCTCTCCAGCGTCAGAACGTCCCTGAGAACATCCCATAATCCTCCTGAGAGCAGATTACCTTCATTACAGACACGGGACGGGTCTAACTCCTGGGTTACAACACTTATAGGAACCCTAAAAGGCCAATACTGAAGGCACAGGAAGTAGGTGGAAGTAAATGGGTCTGGGCTACAGTTTCACCGTTCATTTATATCAAACTAGTATAGTAGAAAGTGAAACATTGCCATCCCAGTTTCTCAAAATCCAACATGTCCGGCAGTGGCTCAGTCAGTAGGGGCTTGGACTGTGAGCCGTAGGGTCGCCGGTTCAAGTCCCCGAACAGACCTAAATATGGAGTTTGGACTGCTACTTGGAGAGGTCCCAGTTCACCTCCTGCCCTGCCGTGGTGCCCTTGAGCAAGGCACCGGACAACCCCCTTCCCCCATTGCTCCCCGGGCGCTGTACACTAGCTGCCCACTTCTCCTAGTACTAGACTCCTGGTACTAGGATGGGTTAAAAGCAGAGAACACATTTCACTGTGTGTGTTCATGCTTCTGGGTATTTTCTCTTTCAATCCCTCAATCCAAAACTCAAATATATTTTACGTTTGAGACGCTGAAAACAGCAATCATATATATTATTTGGACCAAAAAAAATTACTATAAGGATTAATTAATTCAATAGAATTAGAATATGGAGGGATGAAACCCTCTTTAATGGTCTCACATGCAGAGCACACAGCACACAGTGAAATGTGTTCTCTGCTTTAACCCATCCTAGTACCAGGAGTCTAGTACTAGGAGCAGTGGGCAGCTATTGTACAGCGCCCGGGGAGCAATGGGAGTGGGGGGGGGGAAGGGGGTTGTCCGGTGCCTTGCTCAAGGGCACCACGGCAGGGCAGGAGGTGAACTGGGACCTCTCCAAGTAGCAGTCCAAACTCCATACTTTAGGTCTGGTCAGGGACTTGAACCGGAGACCCTACAGCTCCCAGCCCAAGCCTCTACTGACTGAGCCACTGCTCACATAATATGCAGATTATTTCATAAATAAATCCATTGGTGTAAAAATAATTAATCAAATATCCAAGGTGGTGTCTTTAAATGTCTTGATTTGTGTTCAAATGGACAAAAAGGAATGAAAAAATGACATTGTGAGCGATTGAACACTCATCTGTGCATGACAAAGGACTATCCAAACAGTTCTGCAGCTGTGATCTCATCATGGAAGTGAGAGCAGATAACCTTTCATGTTTTTCTAGTTTAATAAGTAAGTAGATCCCACTCACATGGACTGCATGGCCTCCTGGATGAGCTGCATCCAGGTGTTTCGCTCCTCCTTGGATCCGGCCAGCACCTCCATCATCTCCGGCTTCTCGATGCCCGCCGTGATGAGGAAGAGGCCGCGCTCCTCGTTAGCAACTTCCCTCACGATCAGCTTCTGGAGGGAGATCACCGTGGAGCGCTGGTCCTGCAGGAGGAGGAGGAGGAGGAGGGAGTTATGGAGAGACAACAACAGTGGAGGGAGAGGGGAAGAAAGAAGAAGTGGGAGGGGTCCAAGAGGACGGACACATGTTGAGGATGGAGAGGGAGAGGAGGGGTGAATATGGGAGGAGAGGAGAGGAAATGAAGGGGATGAAATCATGGCATTTAGTGAGGAGTGGAAAGAGAGGGGTGGGTGGTAGGAAAGGAAAGACCTTGGGTTCTAGTTATCAGTATAAGTCTGTGCTTCCTTAAAGCTGCACAAAGTGTAAAAAGCAGAGTTTATGAACACCGCACACAACATACTGCTGTATCCAATCAAACTGAACCATTGTGACCACATCCCGTAAGAGTTTGGAAGCACGCCTTCCTGCCGTGACAATTCTGCCAAATTAAGTCCAGAGCTTTGGGCAGAAATGCATCATTTTAAAGTGTCTGTTTTTTCCTGTTTTAATGCAATATCAGACTTCTCTAAAGCAACCACGCCTTTAGTCTAGTGTGTGTGTGTGTGTGTGTGTGTGTGTGTGTGTGTGTGTGTGTGTGTGTGTCTCACATGCAGAGCACACAGCACACAGCGACATGTGTTCTCTGCTTTGACCCATCCTAGTACCAGGAGTCTAGTCCTAGGAGCAGTGGGCAGCTATTGTACAGCGCCCGGGGAGCAATGGGAGTGGGAGGGTGGGGGGGTTGTCCAGTGCCTTGCTCAAGGGCACCACGGCAGGGCAGGAGGTGAACTGGGACCTCTCCAAGTAGCAGTCCACACTCCTATTTAGGTCTGTTCGGGGACTTGAACCGGCAACCCTACGGCTCCCAGCCCAAGCCTCTACTGACTGAGCCACTGCCGGACACTGTGTGTGTGTGTGTGTGTGTGTGTGTGTGTGTGTGTGTGTGTGTGTGTGTGTGTGTGTGTGTGTGTGTGTGGTGTGTGTGTGTGTGTGTGTGTGTGTGTGTGTGTGTGTGTGTGTGTGTGTGTGTGTGTGTGTGGTGTGTGTGTGTGTGTGTGTGTGTGTGTGTGTGTGTGTGTGTGTGTGTGTGTGTGTGTGTGTGTGTGTGTGTGTGTGTGTGTGTGTGTGGGTCCATGGTCATAGCAACCAGTATAGTACTAACTAGACTCATCTATCTAGGTGCAATACTCATCATGATAATTGTTTTGTTCATTTATAAGTGCATGTACATATATGCACAAATATTCTCTTGCTGTTGCAGTGATTCAAAACAACAACAACAACAACAAAAGTAGTCATAGTTTGCAAACCTTTAACTCCTCCTAACCAGCCAGTAGGGGCTGCAAGTGATTGACAAAATGCTTCGCCAGCTTTTGATCGACTAAAGCCTTATCTGGTATCTTTGAGGCCACATATTTGCAGTTGTAGTTAACATGACATAAACAGAAAAGTGCAATCTTATTTTTAGCCGAAGCATCCGCAGATTAGTGACATACTTGATATGCTGTGATCCACTTAGGTTAGGCATGATGAATCCCAGGATGTTTGTCTGAGATTGTGTGTAAGGGAACCCAGAAAGCCAATTGTCTGAGATTCATGTTCTTTGTTCGGTAGGGGAGAGCTGTCATACTAAAAACACACACTCTGGATGAGCCTCATGTAAACCACATTCAGCTTCTGACCTTTGACCTCACTGCTACTTCTTTGCCCAAAACCAAACCTGGTTCACATGGCTGTCGTCCTTCAGACCTTCGGGTTATTTTCTATTTCAACAAACTCAAACACAAACACACCGAGACGTTTTAAAAAGATGGATGTGATTATTACGCCACAGGCCTGCCTCTGTTTTTATTCCCCTACTGTGTGTGTGTGTGTGTGTGTGTGTCTGTGTGCGTGTGTGTGTGTGTGTGTGTGCGTGTGCGTGTGTGTCCTGTAAACTCGATGGTAAAAAAAAACCTTTATGATTGATCACACTTAGGTCAGCAGCTGAGAGCCAGAGCGGCTTTACGAGGTGCAGCTATAGCCGGAGGGTACGCTAACCAAACAGCTAATGCTAATAGTAAAAACAGTGGGGTAGGAAAACATGACAACAGCATCTCTGGAAACTCTCATAACGTATTTATCAGTGGAGGGAAGATGGAGGAGAGAATGAAGGGACTGAGGGAGGAACGTATGATGGTACCAGCATGGAGAAGATGTATTTCTGGTCTTTCTCCTGGAGGAAGACGAAGACGTCCGATAGCAGCAGAGCGTGGACATCTGGAACCAACAGGAGAAACACTTAGATTAAGATAAGCTAAAATACATTTGTAAATACAGAGAGCTGTGTTTTATGCTAGTATTTCATCTCTCAGTAAATGGTGCAAACACATAAATCATGTAAATAGATGTAAGATATTTGTCTGGGACGTGAATTCTCCCCGGTCATGTGACATCTACAGTAATTTCTATTGGTCAGTTTTGCACCCCTCACCCTTCAGCCTCCCCTGGACGTTCTTCAGCTGCAGCCCCCCGTCGTGCACCAGCCTCCGCCTCAGCAGGTCCTCTCTGGCGAAGATCTGCCCACTCTTCATCATCATGATGGACTTAGAGTCCATGCGTCCGTGGAAGTCCTTCAGACGCTTTCTCTTCTCGTGGTCGTTCACCTTGCTGTCCACGGCCGCAATCACTTCCTTCACCACGCGCACCGCTAGAGAGAGGTCCTCGTGGTCCTCCTCGCTCTCTGGGGGACACAGAGGGGGGAGAGGGAGTTAGAGAACAGAGAGGAGGGTCCTCAAGTCTAGGGTTTAATGTGAGATCTTAACCTGACACCTGAGAGACATTGAGGTGGGAATTAAAGCCAAATATTCATTTCTGGGAGAAAAAGAACAAAATAAATGTGATCTTTTATTTCATTTTCCCATCATCGCTCTATAATTAGCTTTAATTTGACTTTATAATTCTATTTATTAACAATACACGTTTGTTTTCTGAGTGAAGTGTATCATCAAAAGTATTTCACGTATTTGTAATTAAAGCAGAAAATTCCCTAATAAAAAATCTTTTAGAAAAAATTAAAAAAATGAAAAAAACAATAATAACAATAACCGAGATTCATAAAATAATACACATGTCAATAAAAATAAACAATTACTTAAAATTCATAAAAATGGAAAATCAAATACAAATTACACAAAAAATAATATTGTAAAAAATAATAATAATACAAATATAATCTAAAACAAGTCTTGTATTTAATTTTAAACTAATTTAGCCTCAAAACGCTCGTAACACAGGGTCAGTCTAATCTAGTTTTAAGTGATGAAAGATAGACATGGAGGCGAATCAGCAAATGTAAAACATACTATTCACCTTACTACATTTAGAGGAGAAGCCAAGGATTACAACATGCACCCTGAGAAGTGTGTCTGATGTGTTTGTGTTTGGGTAACATGCCCCCCCCCCCCAAAGTGGAATATGTTTCTCCTTTAGTTGTACTTCATTGCTCCGAGGCACTAACACACCGTCTCCCACTGAGAGTGTGTGTGGTGTTATTTCCACTGTGTGTGTGTTGTGTTATTTCCACTGTGAGGAGTCCTCTTAAAGCACCTTGGGGATTAACACAGCGCTGCACCATCCCACAGAGAACTATAAACAGGCTTTGGGGGAAGGATTAGAGCGTCGCACACAGTGGGAGGCCAGCGGACCAGAGGCCTGTACTACGAAGCCGGATTTTCGCTTAGCCGGCTGACTTCAGGGAAAACTCGGGCTTTCCGGTCCTACGACGCTGGTTCTCTTTTTAGCGGGCTAGATCTCCATGGTAACTTATGCTGAGCGGCTAACCTCCTCGGGAGGAGGTTAGGTTGCAGGCTAAGAGATCAACTCAGTGAAAGCACCGCCTGCTGACCAATCAGAGCTCCGTGTGCGGAGTTTAAAGCTATCAAGTCATATTACAGGATAGAGGAAATACTGAAAAACTGCCGTTGCAGGAAAGACGGCCGGCCAAAATCACCTGACTGTGTGAACGTGAAAATGAATAGAATATCCCCTCCCATCTTCAGAGCAATCTGACTATTATAACATTAGCGTTAAGAAAGGTTACTTAAATATCTGCCACAACATAAGTAACCGGATCAGAGTAACATTAAGTACAGTCCGCGGCACTGTGAGTGCAGACGTAGATGTGTCCCATTATCATTCATATCATATCACATCATAATGTATCATATATTTCCTTATTTGAGTCAGCTTCTTGAGCCGTATCTGGCTGTGCAACACTCACAGTGTCACATACTGTATGCAGAAGTATTATTTTAAGCAACACATTAAGTTGACGAAACACTCGAGTCAAATGCTCTAATTAAAGTCAGATCCACTCGTGTCTTGGACGGGGCAGTGATTTCATAAACCTGTTAATGTACGCATTCAAACGCTTTTTCTTTTACCAGCTGTATTCACCTTGCAGGTGCAGCTATGTGGCTTTTATCCTGGATAAAGTGTTTAAGTCATGGATGTTTAAAGTTTAACTTCTTCATATTTGACTAATATTAAAGTTCACTTTTCATTCAGGAAGTATGACTCTGCGCTGTCAGTACGCTTCTCCGTGTTTGAGATTGGTCGAATGCTCCAAATACCTCCCCTTTCATGTGAACGCGCACCAAACTAGATAGGACACGGCTGGCTTGAGCGATCCACTTGATAACCAGCGTCGTAGTACAGCTTAGCGCCAGCGCGTATGTTTTAGATTGGGCCAACCGGCTAACTCAAACATATCCAGGTTAGGAAAATCCAGCTTCGTAGTACAGGCCTCAGATCTGCTTTAAATCACATTAAAACACGCGGGGAAGTATTTTAAAGTCGGCTTCAACTATTATGTTCCAATACCCGTCCAACATGTGTCTCATTCATCTCGAAATATGTCAAACTATGTGAGAAATTCAGCTTTCCAGGAGCTTTTCCTAGAACGAGTGAGCTGTACGGGGGTTTAAATGTAACCATGATCAGAGGAACTGACGAGCGTTTATAGGAGATATGTTAGCATGCTAAGCTAAATTTGCAAGATGAACATGATAATAGAGAAATAGAAAGGCAGATATTAGTGTAAACGAATAAGAAAAACGTTCCTGCTGAAATGTTTGGATGTGGTTTGTTCTCCAAATCAACGTAATGATCTATGAGTGAGCTAGCATGTTCTTTAACGCAGTGAATTGGCCTCATTCTGTCACTTCTTTATGTCAGAGTATAATTAATGCAGCCAAGTAGCAGATAAAGAAAACACTTCTGATTGAACATGAGATTACCCTTTACTGCTTTAAGACATTCAATCCTTTTTCTCCATTATTAATACTGCATTCATGTTTTGTATTGCATAACAGACAGTTTGCAGGATGATACCAGTGTGAGAAGACAGGTCAATGAAAGGCCTACAAGTCACCAGTAAAGACTACTTTTAGACACAATAACAACACATGATAATCCTACATCTGAATTTGTCATGAAATATAATATGGTATTACATTTAGTTATCTACTCACCTAACTACACGCTGCTTTGTTAGTCTGGTATAATATTCTGCAAACTTCAACCCAATTAAAAGCAGCTTCCTCCTGCCACTTTGCATAATTCATATCATCACGTAAACAGGAAGCTCACCTCTCGTGTGCTGCAGCATCCTCTGAATCAGCACCGGGTACTTCGTTATCCTCTGGGTCACCAGCAGGATGCATTCTGGGATACCAAGCCTCCGCACAATGCTGCTACTCATCTTTTTCTGTTCAAAAAACAACAACAAGTGCTTTAGTGAAACATGCCCACACAGCAGGCTGTTAACAATGGGGAGCTCATTTAGTGTTTACTGGAAGAAGTCTCGAGGGTAGGGCTGCTTTTGTACAAATACAAGCACTGATTGAAATGTGCAAAAAGGCTATAAGAGAAAGGGAAGACAGAACAAGAAGCTCCGTCAACAGAACAACATCATGTCTGGAGAAACAGACAACTTTAAAGCTCACCTATTATGCTCAATCCACGTGTTCATGTCTCTTCTACATCAACATGTGTCCCCTCTGTGGAAAGAGACTCTCTCTTTACACAGAGGGGACACATGTCTCTTCTACATCAACATGTGTCCCCTCTTCTTCATGTCTCCTCTACATCAACATGTGTCCCCTCTTCTTCATGTCTCTTCTACATCAACATGTGTCCCCTCTTCTTCATGTCTCTTCTACATCAACATGTGTCCCTCTCTCATGTCTCTTCTACATCAACATGTGTCCCCTCTTCTTACATGTCTCTTCTACATCAACATGTGTCCCCTCTTCTTCATGTCTCTTCTACATCAACATGTGTCCCCTCTTCTTCATGTCTCTTCTACATCAACATGTGTCCCCTCTTCTTCATGTCTCTTCTACATCAACATGTGTCCCCTCTTCTTCATGTCTCTTCTACATCAACATGTGTCCCCTCTTCTTCATGTCTCTTCTACATCAACATGTGTCCCCCTCTTCTTCATGTCTCTTCTCTACATCAACATGTGTCCCCTCTTCTTCATGTCTCTTCTACATCAACATGTGTCCCCTCTTCTTCATGTCTCTCTCTTCTACATCAACATGTGTCCCCTCTTCTTCATGTCTCTTCTACATCAACATGTGTCCCCTCTTCTTCATGTCTCTTCTACATCAACATGTGTCCCCTCTTCTTCATGTCTCTTCTACATCAACATGTGTCCCCTCTTCTTCATGTCTCTTCTACATCAACATGTGTCCCCTCTTCTTCATGTCTCTTCTACATCAAACATGTGTCCCCTCTTCTTCATGTCTCTTCTACATCAACATGTGTCCCCTCTTCTTCATGTCTCCTCTACATCAACATGTGTCCCCTCTTCTTCATGTCTCTTCTACATCAACATGTGTCCCCTCTTCTTCATGTTCTCTTCTACATCAACATGTGTCCCCTCTTCTTCATGTCTCTTCTACATCAACATGTGTCCCCTCTTCTTCATGTCTCTTCTACATCAACATGTGTCCCCTCTTCTTCATGTCTCTTCTACATCAACATGTGTCCCCTCTTCTTCATGTCTCTTCTACATCAACATGTGTCCCCTCTTCTTCATGTCTCTTCTACATCAACATGTGTCCCCTCTTCTTCATGTCTCTTCTACATCAACATGTGTCCCCTCTTCTTCATGTCTCTTCTACATCAACATGTGTCCCCTCTTCTTCATGTCTCTTCTACATCAACATGTGTCCCCTCTTCTTCAGGTCTCCTCTACATCAACATGTGTCCCCTCTTCTTCATGTCTCTTATACATCACCATGTGTCCCCTCTTCTTCATGTCTCTTCTTCATCAACATGTGTCCCCTCTGTGTAAAGAGACTCTGAAAGTTTCAGGAACAAAGATTCTCTCTCTTTTTGTCCTGATCCATTTCTATAAAAACCTGTCTGAAAATGAGCTGATCAGATTTTGGCCACTTTATGATGTCATAACGATGTTTTGTCTTGTGTAACCATTAGCCAATCACCAACCAAGGTAACCACCCCCACACCTTATCACCTGAATCTCCTCCTAGAGCACCATTGAGTTCTTTGTAACCAAATGTCTCTCAGAGGGGCGTGGGGAGGGGCTCCTTATTTTTCATCTAAAGTAACAGACAGAGAATCAGCACTTTGGAAACAGGGCTGAAACAGAGGGGATTATGGGATGCTGCAATGATCTGTTTGGTGTTTCAGCCAATCAGAGACAGGCTCTGTATATATCTGAGACCTGTGATATATTGATGAAGAACAGTATAATAGGGGACCTTTAAGATCATGAGACAGAACAACGTTCTCCACACAGAAACACCACAGATAGAGGAAGGAGTCTCACTTTGATGCAGGCTTTGAAGCGTTTGTCTTTGGTCAGCAGTTCTTTGTAAAGGTTCACAGCTTCGTTGTGGCGGCTGCAGAATCGTCCGTAAACCCTCTTCATGCTCTCCCCGTTGCTTCCTGAGAACTAGAGCAGAATATCACAGGCATGAAAACACTAAACAAACACAGGAGAGAGGGGCAAAGAAAC